ACCCAGGGATTCCTCAGCGGCGCAGCGGGCAACGTCTACCTCAGCGACCGCATTGGCTTCGGCAAGGTCGGTGCCTTTTATCGCCCTTCCTACATGACATCTCCGCTAACACCCTCGCAGGTCCTCCTACTAGGTGCGTAGGCGTGCCCGCCGCCCGCACCGCTGACTGCACAACTATGCAGGCGGGATCATGCAGCTGAGCGGGTACGCGCTCGACAGCGCGGGCGGGCCCTTCCCGCTCATGTGCCTCGGGTATGCGTTCTCCGGCTTCGGCATCTCGCTCCAGATGGCGCACGCGAACGGATTCGTCGGCAGCATGCGCGCGCGCACGAGCCTCGGCTTCGGCTTCCTCCACGCGTGGTACGGTGCGCGCCCCCTTTCGTCCCGTCCCCTCCGAGTCTCCGTCCCGCGCGGCGCTGACCGCACAGCCAGGGCTCGGCGCGTTCGCGGCGCCGCTCGTGGCGACGCAGTTCACGCGATCCCGCACTGGTCGTTCTACTATCTCGTCTCCGCCGGCATGGCGGTGTGCAACATCGTGGTGCTCGCGAGCGTGTTCCGCGGGAAGCGCCAGGACGGTGCGTGCTCTCCGTTCCGCACGTGTTGGGCGGAAAGCTGACTGGACTGTGCGCGCGATGTGTAGATGTGCTGGCGGAGGCAGGCGTCGCGCCTGGGGACGTGGACACCGCGGGCAGAAGCAAATACCGCCAGATCCTGGGCATGCGGGAGGTGCACTATCTGTCGATCTGGTGCCTCATCTACGTCGGCGTGGAGGTCGCGCTCGGTGGTGCGTAGTCCCGTTCGCGTCGCAGGTCACTGATACTGAGCAGCGCGCGATTGCAGGCTGGATTGTCACGTTCATCGAGGAGAAGCGTGGCGGGACCGCCTCGTCCGGATACATTTCGTCTGGGTTCTGGGCCGGTGAGCCGTGCGTGCGCCCGTGCTGCGGGACTGGTGCTCACGGACTTCCCATGGGGCTCGACAGGGCTCATGATCGGCCGGCTCGCGCTCAACTCGATCAACCGCCTGGTGCGTCCCCGCGTCTATCTCTGCGCCGCCCTCGCCCGGCCTCACACAGCACCCGCAGGTCGGCGAGCGCCGCGTGATGTTCCTCTACACCATTATTGCCATTTTGTTTGTCCACCCTTCGCTCACATGTTCATAGACTGACCCGCAGCGCGCAGGCTGGAAGTGACAATCTGGGTCGTGCCCTCGCTGATCGAGAACGCGGTCGCGGTGAGCGTGATCGGGCTCCTGCTGGGCCCGATGTACCCGATCCTGATGAACTACGCGGTCGCGGTGCTCCCGAGCTGGCTGCGCACGGGCAGCGTGGGGTACATCTCGTCGCTCGGGCAGGCAGGCTCGGCGCTGCTACCGTTCGTTACGGGCCTGCTCGCGTCCAAGTTCGGGATCGGCTCGCTGCAGCCCCTGTACGTGTCCCCACTGTGTATCTGTGTATTATATGTGGCTGACGGCGGGCGTCCCGGCCTTGTTGTTGCGCAGAATCGTGTCGATGATGTCGACGATGATAGTGATCTGGGCGTTGGTGCCGCGCGTGCGGCGGATCGACTGAGGGCTACCTGGCTGTTGAGGAGCACGCGATGTCCCCGTCGACTGTCCGCTTTTTTGCTCCTCGTGCATTGTCCGTTGTCTTCGCAAATAGAAATGGTTTTCAGAAGGCCCTTTATGGCGCCCGTCCAGGCGGGCGGACGTCGATGTGATTTTTCTCTCCTGCTCCCATCGCACGCACATTTGTACACATGAATATATCCCCCTGCTTCCGTTCTCGACGAGTAGTGTACAGCAGAAATGAGCACAGCAATACATCGATGCGGACCGTGTTGCCGACGCGCCACACGCACGCGAGCCTACTGCGTCTTGCGCGCGAGCTGGGCGAGATGCACGGTCCCCTGCCACCAGACGAGGAAGCCGAGCCCGACGAGGCCGTGCATCGTCCCCCACGCGATCTCCGGCGTGACCTTCCATCTGCGGGCGGTGCGTCAGCGCATACGGCGGGCAAAGAGCAGAGGGGTGCGCACGCCTCTGCGAGCGGGCCGAGGCTGTAGGGGATGATGCGTGGCGCGTGGTAGAGGATGGTGGAGCAGGTGACGTGGTAGAGGCAGAGCGCGATCGCGAGCGCGCGTTTGCCGGGGAGGATCTCTATGGCGAGGGGAGTGTAATGAGAATTGGTGCGCGGCGGGAGAGAGATGGCACGTACCGGGGAGGCCCCAGCAGAGCAGCGCGGCGATGCACCCGCCAGAGGCGAGGGCCGCGTAGAGCTAGGGAATGTGAGGGGTACAACGGTGCGGGCAATAAAAGACTGACCTTTATGAAGACGATAGTGGTGTTGTTCAGCTGGAGGAACGGGAGCGCAGCGGGGGACCAGAGACCCTGGATGGCGACGGGGACATCGAGAGCGATGTGCAATAGGAATATGACGGAGCTGGAGACCTAGTGTGTTAGAACGGTGGTTAGTTGAATGGCACTGAAAACTCACAGGGGGCTTTTGAAGGGGAGTGGCTGGGACATGGCTGGCGTTGTCGTGGTCGAGGACAAGGAGGAGGAGGAGCACATGGCCCAGATAAGTACAGGGGGCGCCCGGCCACGTGCGCGATCCAGGAACATAAGATCTTCGATCCCGCATCTCGATCACGGTGGAGCTGCATCCGGCGGGCCAGTGAGTCACGGGACTGGTAAACGCTCTATATCACCTCGTACGTACGCGTACAATATTTCCCAGACAAATGACAGAGTAGAAATGTCGCCGTGCGAGACCGCACTATTCCTTTTACACCGCTGCTCACCCGCCCTCCTCGTCCGCCTCGTCCCCTTCCCCCGCAAACATCCCCCCGTACCCACCGTGCGTGCGCGAAAACAATCCTCCGTTCGCAATCTCCACCGCGTCAATATCATGTTCCAGGTCCACCATGCCCGCCTGCGCCGTCTCCTCCGCCACAAACGTCCGCAGCCTCGCAACCTCCCCGCGCAGCATCTCGATCTCCTCGTCGCGCCGTTCGACGCGCCCCTTGAGCATCTTCATATACTCGTTCCCGCACCGCAGCAGCTGCAGCTTGCTCACGCCGCGGTTCGGACCCTCGACGTTTCCCTTCGGCGGCCCGCGCGGCGGCATCGCCCCGGGCAGGATGGGCTCGTCCGGGTACCCGTCCTCAGACGGCAGTGGGATCGGCGGCAGGAGCACGCGCAGGTCGTCAAACGACGTCTTGAGCGAGTCGCGCCGCTTCTGCTCCGCCGCCTTGTGCGACGACTTGCGAAACTGCACCACCGGCGGCGCCCCCGTCATCCCCCCCGGCGACGTCGCCGTCATCACCGCCATGTTCCCCGCTGCGCGCACATCAGCCACGCAGCCTACGAGACAAATAGACAGACAAACCGCACGCACCTGGACGAATCGGCTTCAAGCTCGGGCTCACAAGCGGCACGCTCGGCGTCCGCGCGCTCTTCGCCGGCTCCCCACCCTTCGCCGCCTTCCCCTTGGCGTGGCCCTCCTTCCGCGCAGGCGCGAGCGCGCTGTTGAGGCCCAGCCGGCCCAGATTCATGATGCTCGCAGGCGTCACCGGCGTGATGGGGCTTTGCTGCTGCGATATCGTCTCCGGCGCCGGCGACACCGAACTAGAAGGTGCAAGCACGGGTGCGGGCGCGGGCGGGCGGAGGCTGCGCGGGAGGGGGCATGGGGAGCTCGATGGGCGACGGCGTGTCCTGCGGGATGCCCGCGGCGAAGAGCGGCGTCGAATTCGCAGAGCGGGTCCCGCGTTGCGATGTGCGCCTCTGCGGCGCTGTGCGTGACGGCGGTTGGCGCTTACGTGGTGGCTTCGCGGGCGCGGTGGACTCGTCACCGCTCGAGGAGACAGGGGGGCGTTTGTGCCGCGCAGGACCGGGCGTGGAGGTGCTGCTCGACGCGGACGGCTGCGAGGGCTGCGCGCTGCTATTGGTATTGGAGGGGGAGGCCGGATTGTTGTTGTATGCGCCCAGCCAGGGACTCGTGAGCGGGGAGATGTCGAAGTCGAGATCCGTGCCAGGGAGAGGGAGCGGGGGGTTCGTCTGGAAGACAAGATTTGCTGGCGCAGAGTGAGGGGCAGTGGGGAGCATGTGGTGCGAGGGGAAGGCCTGCATGTCTGGCACGCCACCGCCGTGTCCATGACCATGCCCATGCCCGTGCTGGGCTTGCTGAGCCATGCTTTGTCCCATTGGCGCGTTGTTGGTGTGCAGGATCATTGGAGAAACGAAGTCGGTCGACTGCTGAGGTCGAAGCTCAGTCGAGTTGCCTACAAAAATTGAATCAGAGCGGACGGGTACAAGAGAGGAAGGAGACGAACCTGGTGTAGGGAGGCCGAATTGCTGCGAGTCTCGCTGACGGTCAATGGGAGTGGGCGGCATCGGCATGAAGGTGTTTTGCCCGCTCAAGAGCTCCATCTGCCGTGGTCAATTTTCAGTGTCCATCCCACGCCATGCCCCCACGCAACCAGAGGAGAGTTCCCCAACACCCGAGGACACAACCTAACGGTCCACCCGCCTAGAAAATGGCTGCTCACCTGCTGCTGAAAGATCTGGTTCTGCAACTGCTGCAGCTGCTGCAGCTGATTGAGGCGCAACTGCTGCTCCATGAGCGCCTGTGGCGACGGCGCCGGCTGTTGTGAGAGTCCACCCTGGCCCGCGCCGCCGTCCTGCATTGCCATGAAGCTTTCGAGAACCTCCATGCTGACCTGCATTGGCTGGAACTGCTGGGGCGGCGCGGGGGCGTTATGGAAGAGGTCCGCGTCCCGGTTCGCGTCTCCCTGGAAGAAGTGCTGCATGAAGTCCTTCTGGTGGTGATCCTGCGCCGAGTCTGGGTGCATCGCTGGAAGGTAAGGGCAACGGACGGTGCAGTATGCAGTCCTAGAGTAGCAGGTCGAGCGCAGGATCCTACGCGAGAGATGCCCCTCGAAAATAGATCTAGCCCTATTTGGAGAATGTCTTATCATATCACTCATCTTCTTACAATACAATCCCGTTTAGCTCAGTTGGTAGAGCGCGTCACTAGTATAAAGTGATGACGAGGTCAGTCGTTCAAATCGGCTAACGGGAAAATTCGTTTTATCTCTTTTGCGTCATTCATTGCTACTTCGCTATGAGTCCCGAATCCACAGTGGTCTCTAAACAGAGCTATGTTGCTTGCCTTACTACTACTGGTGAATAGAACGGAACCGAGATTATTTCGTGGTGTTGGCGCGGTACATAACAGTGCTGAACATGGTATCTGTGTCCCGTTATGGCGTCTACTTAGCATGCGCCTTGCGATGTATTGGAGACAATAAAGATATGTATTTGCTTCAACTTATCAGTAAATCATGAGCGAGAGATACTGTCATCAAATAACTAGGCCTAGCTGCCAGAAAATGATTGTGATGTCCACTGCGGGAGAGCTGCCGTGCATTCACGCCGGCTTGAACTCGGCCTTACCATGAGTGTATCCGTCCAGATATCGCGGCACCTAGTAAAAAGCAGGCCATTATTAGTAAATATTCCGACGAACACATACCAGACAGAGCGCCCACCGCAATCGAGTATTGGGCCAGGGGATAACAGGGTAGCTTAGCAGACACTATGTGATCTGCGTGCAACGAATCCGAGGTGACTGGAATGATTTGGGGGCTAGTGCTGGACTAGAGAACGTGGAATAGCAGAGCACTAACATAGGCCCGAGAACTGATGGTACCTGCAATCGCGATAAGACAAGCACGACCCGGAGGAAGAGAACAAATGCGGCATACCTGGTTCTCTGACATCGCGAACCGCGCAGAAGACGGCTAAGACGTCATGGTCTGTATCAGACAAACGCCGGTCATTTCGTGCGCGGATCCTTTACGGAGAAGAGGAGGGGCAGTTGTTCGTGCGGTGGCACACGCAGACACCTCGTCCACCCATGACACACAATAAGCGCGCTATCAATCCGACCGAGCGACTCAACAAGGAATCCATCGGTACAGCGTTCAAGCTGCACAGCATACTTGTCAGTGAGCCACCGATATTGATATAGGGGCTGTGTGCTAGACGTAAGTGGGTTACGATGGGCACCCAAACACCCTCTTCTCACGCGTAGATAGCGCAAAGTATAGAACCGGAGTGGAGGAGTCGAAGGCAAGCTGCGGGGTCAGCGTGTGATCACAAAACAAGAGAGCCTCAAAGCAGGACGCACTTGTATCGGCGCTTGGTTTTTACGCATTCGTCGAGCTGGGAGGCGAGTAGGTCGCAGCGCAACCACGAAAATATCCCGCAGCGCAAGACACGACCTAAACAGGGGGAGGTAGTCACAATCGTAAAGCAACAACTCTCTCGGTCGGCTATAATCTAAATGAGGACAGTGCATCAGCATGCTGCAGGGCCAGCGAAGGCACGATGCTCGAGCGATCGAGAGAGTACGTACTACTACGTGCAGGTCGGCTATTCGGTTTGACGTACTGGGCTAGTGGCCGATCCCCTTGTTCTGAGAGATCCGGCGTGATGTCCGTCGCTCAGCCGAGGACGAAGGCAGTATACAGCCAGCCACCAGCTTACCGACACGCCGTGTCGGTGCGACCATGAAGAGGCTATATGACAGATAGAAGGTGGAGAACCAGTACGTGACCGCATCTCAGTCTGCCGAGATAACTTCGCAAAGGGCATGAGACGTACGGGTTTAAGGATAGGGTTGCGGTGTTGGAAAAAAAGCTTGCACCGAACCAAAATCACGATGGCGGTACAATTTACTGGCGTGAACAAAGTGATCCCCAAAGTCAACGTGGAGACGCAGGCCAGATATCCAGATACAGGCAGGCGCTTGTCGTTTCTCGCCAGATCGACGGAAACGCCATATGAAAATACGGTGACTGCGTGACGCTGTCAAAGCCGTTCATAGACACATCCGACGTCTGTGCGATCTGGAGGCCAAAGAAGACCCGTAGATCGAGGAATGCGAAGTCCGCATGTCCGGACAGACGGGGTTTGCGGAAAAGAGCACAGGTGTCCGGTCTGTATGATGCGCCAAAGGCGCTCAAGACGACGCGCTAGAAGCAAGCTCATCGCAAACGCTGAATAGCGGTTACATGGCGAGTACCATCGTCGGAGCGGAGAGGGAGATGTCACGTTGTCGCAACCTATGTTGGAGATCAGGGAAAATTTAGTCCGTTTCGAGAGTCACGGACCAGGCAGGTGTGAGAGCGTCATATATTACGATCTATTTTTGCTGTCAACGAGGCCAGATGTCTGTAGGACACGTTTGCACCATCCACAACACGCACCAATCCTTGACACTGCATTTCCTCTGCTACGGTCCTCGGACACCGGCGAGGGGAGGAGCGGTGGATTGATGCCACGAGACAATTTTGTCCTGCTGATGCATGCATATGGTGGTGTTGGACGAAGAGCACAAGGGAAGTTGGTATTGCGGACTGTACCCAAGGTGGATTCGGCAGCACCACATAGCATCCACATGGCGGAGGCGCGGCAGCCTGATGAACCGCCACTCGGGTCACATTAATCATTAATGATATCTGGAAAACAGTAATAAACGCGCATATGCCATCCGGATACTGCACCGACCAATGGTTGCTTCTCCGCCGCGCTGTAGGCCACAAATGACTGGGAGGAAGGACGGTTAAGCGCTGTGGAGCAGCCTTCGATCTCTCCATTTCCCATCAAAGCTCAAGTGCATGGATCCGGCCTGTACCAGGTCCGCGACAAAGCTAGGGCTATCATCGACATGGTGTCTGTGCGACGTATATTATCCGCGAAGACACAGATCCCAACAACCGCCGGAACCGCCGCGCGAGAAGAGACGCCCATAAGTCCAAGAGTAATTTCCACGGTCGCACAAAGTATGCAGACAATCTGCGGCACCGATCTGAACGTCTATTCGGATAGAATGGAAGGCGTGCTTTAGGACAGGCCCATGACGCGGGCGGCGGAGAGCAGCATGGCAGGGACACATAAGCGCCGCCGACCACGCGTCCATGAGATGGGGCCTGACTTCTCTGATAATGAATCTTCTGGCAATACACGCACTTCCCTGCCGTCACGACGTTGCGAAACGGTGGGTGTAGAGCGGACGTGGTCTGTCGCAGCACGAGGCTCGCGCGGAGGAGCACGGCGATCTGCCAGACGTCCCTGAGTAGTCCGTGTGGTGCGTGCCAAGCCAGAACGGGGAAGGAGGCCTACCTAGATAAATGCGCGCAGCTGCAGATGCGGGTATGTGGATTCGAGATCGATGATAGGTTGGGATGCAGGGAGATCCATCGGTACTCGGTGGATCGAGCCGTTCTTTGTCTCTCAAAGCATGCCGAGATGTGTTAAGAAATTTGAGGAGTGAAGCGGCTGTCGACGTTGAAGTCTGCGCCGCTGACTCTCGAAGAGCGTGAGGATCAGCGCAGTCGTGCTATGCTGCAGGATCAGCATGATTCCGTGTCAAGCGACATGCGCGGGTGTGGGACTTACTCGAAATAGAAGTAGTGGATTTTCTCATGGCGTACCAAGTTGTCGCCGCGCTGTGGAGTTGCTGGCGTCTTTCCAGCACACTCGAATGAATCGTGGTACCTACATTTGGAGTGGGATGATCTAAAATGCAGGCCATTAGGTTCTATTCAGACGTACCTTCTGCGGAACATACGGGCCACCGCGCTGCTCGCTAAATGTGGTGCGGAAGGATCGAACCGCATCTGTAGGTGGGAGATTGCATGAGCTCGGACTCAACGCGAGTCAAAAACAGGCCGTCGTGAAGCCCAGAACAATGAGAAAGGCGGTGTCGTGACAACACTGCTTCTTGCAACCTATCCGGATAGAGCCGGCCCACACTCGGGAACGCAGCAACTACAAAGGCCTTTGTGACGTCCGGCGACAACTTGAGTGAACACATAAAAAATTGAACGTGCGTGACACGAGGAACACGCCTTCTTGATTTCTCTGCGGAAGGTGTATTAGTGAATCAGCGACACATGCACGGTGGAGACGCTGGGCTACATGATATTTGTGCGGAGGACTGCTGTATATGGTCCGACGAGTCATGTGCTGCAGAGAAAAATCTCACCACCCGAATACATGGATGGTGTCCTGATGACTCGAGATCGGTGCTGTTGATATTATCATTGTTCATATTTCGAGTTTATACTATCGCCACCGAGTGATGAGCTAACTGCCCTCTCTAGATGAGGGCGATACTATCGATAGCAGCGAGCCGCAGTGCACGTCCACGGGTGGAACATAAAGCACTGTCAGCCGAGAGAACAAAAGCCGTCTGGAGCTAGCTGCGGTACAACGTGTCCGCAAAAGGTATCTTGCACGAGGAAAGGGGGAGGAAGTCGAATGGTTATCTTCGCTGACTTTGAGCGAGCGCCATGGTGCTGGAGCGGAGAAGGTGTGCATGCCGTCGGACTCTGAAGAATGGTCCGACAGTCCGTCGAGAAGGCCTGTAAAAGTGCTGTGTGACGGCAGATGATCAACTAGGACGAGGTCTGTCCCGCAAACGTCCGGGCCAGGGGTGGCCAGGGATGGCCCAAGAAGTGCGTTCTAGGGGCACATCACCAGATGGCGCACCGATACGAAATGACAGGTAGACAACAAAAGCTAGAGGGTGTGCTGGGGTTCCGAAAAAGGCAGGCAGGAATTGGACGCCGCATGCCTGAAACCTGAGAAGGCCAGCGGCATCAGATGTCGGCAACCCACATCACTGGGCCCGAACATAGGACTGTATTCACAGGTGGCGCCCAGGCCCAACTGAGCTAGACCTATGTGCACGCCACGGGAGGGTGGCACGCTGTTTGGGCATTCCGAGGCACGGGGCTGTGGGACAAAGGAGTTGGTGGATTATTGTTGCGGGGGCAGAGTCTGTGGACAGGAATGCGGTGGGAGGAAAGGCTAGCAGGAAAGGGCAGGGCGTACGCTGGAGGGAGGCAAGACTGACAGAGAGGGGTGGAGATTGGGATCAGATTGGTGGGCGTGGCCCGCGAGTCCTTCCTGGAAGCAGATAGAACGGAAGGTTCTATGCATCTTACGTAAATTGTTTATCCCATTATTGGGGCCGCACGCTGCCGTAAGAGAATACAACAACCTATATAG